TTAATTCAGTAGGATTTATGCACTTTATTACTTATTTACCAAGAGACTTACGATGTCTAGCATTTTGTTTCCATTTGCATAATTTCTTTCAGAATTTTCAATTTCGAACTGTACACCATTGTGATGGTTTTTCTTAGATGCGTTTCTATTTGTGACACCTCGCCTGGTTAACTAGTTCACTAGTTACTAGCCAGTCCTAACCCCGGGTAAAGAGGGATGGTTGGGCATAGGGCTAGCAACCCCACCCTGTAAAACAAATCTAACCGCTAAAGAAACTTCAAAGCACAAACAAAATATAAAAAATAATAACAAAATTATTCCTCACTGGAATCGGAGAGGCGAAATGACGCCAGTTGGTGAAAGCCTTCAGGAAGCCAATTGGCCGATGTGTCTTCTCTCGATGAAAGCGAAAGTAAACGTGGGGACATGGAATGTCCACACGATGTTTGAACCCAGCAAAGCAGCCCAGATTGCAAACGAGATGAGAAGGTATCACACTGAAGTGCTTGGGATTTGCGAAAGCAGATGGAATGGGAGTGGACTCTCCAAACTGTCAACTGGAGAATCAATAATCTACTCCGACACTGACACCTAGACGACAACCACGAGCACACTGAGTTATGGAGTGGCTATCATGATGTCCTCAAGAGCATCAAAGGCTCTCATGCAGTAGGAACCAATCTCCTCCAGGATCATGACAGCAAGATTCAACTCAAAAGGAAGGAAGGCCACAATCATACAACGCTACACTGTGCACCTACAAATAATGCAGAGCAAGAGAAAAAGGAGGAATTCCACAGACAACTTCAATCAACACTGGACAAGACCTCAGTTGGCGATATCAAAATTCTAATGGGTGGTGTGACATGAATGCCAAACTGGGAACAGACAACACAGGAAGAGAACTAACCATGGATCGAGAAGCACTAGGTGAGGTGATGAACGAGAATGGAGAATTGTGTGCAGAATTCTGTGCATTCAACGATTTGGTGATTGGAGTCAGGCACTGTGTTCAAGCACAAGGATATCCACAAAGCGACATGGATTTCAACAGACACCAGGACATACTAAAAATCAAATCGACTTTATCTCAATCTCAAGAAAATGGAGATGCAGTCTACTTGACACAAGGTCAAGAAAAGGAGCAGATGTAGGTTCACACCACTCACTGTCTAGTGCAAGGAAACTTCCAAATCAGGTTGAGAGACTTCAAGGAAGCTGGTGATAGACCACAGTTCAAGTACAACACTCGGAAACTGAAGGATGAAACTACAAAGGAAATCTTCAAGGCAGCCATCAAGACAAAATGGGAGACATCGAGCAACATCCCTGAAGAAACCTGTGTGGAAGAACACTGGAAGTCTTTGAAAGCTATGTGGAAAGAAACCTGCACAACCGTATTAGGAAGGAAGAAGAAAGAAGACAAGGAATGGATCTCGATGGATACATGGAAGCTGATAGAGGAGAGGAGGATGGTGAAGCAGAAGATAAACCAGTGCAAGGATGCTCAACGACAAGAGGAACTGAGCACAATGTATAAAACACTGAACAAAGAAGTAAAGAAGAGTGCACGCAAAGACAAAAGACACTTCTACGAAACACTGGCAAGTGAAGCAGAACAGGCTGCAGGTAGGAGAGATAGAGACCTGACGACATTGTATCCAATAACCAGGCTGCTATCATGGAAGAGATCAACACAGATGAAACCAATAAAAGATGATGACGGGAATTTGATTACGAAAGAAGAGAAACAGAGGAAACAATGGGCCGACCACTTCAAAAAGCTCTTGAATCTACCACCACCACCCGCACTTCTTCCAGAAATACCACCTGCAGCCGCTGAACTACAAGTGAACATAAATCCTCCAACGAAAATGGAAGTCCTGAACGCCATAAAGCTACTGAAATGTGGGAAAGCAGCAGGACCGGATGGGATCCCGCCAGAATCACTGAGAACAGACGCAGAGACAACAGCGGACATACACCACTATTGCAGAAGGTGTGGAAGGAAGAGAAGGCACCTGGCTAGTGATTGGAAGAGGGGTTACTTAATCAAACTGCCGAAGAAGGGAGACCTTAGTGTTTGCAAGAACTGGCGAGGAATCATGCTCCACTCCTGTCTACCTAGAGCAAGCAAAATATTAAGCCGCATCACCCTGGAGAGACAAAAGGATGCGCTGGATTAAAAATCACGACCGGAACAGGCTGGCTGGCTGGATTCAGGAAGTGCAAATCATGTGCAGACCAAATTGCAACGCTTCGCATCATCACAGAACAGAGTATAGAATGGCAGTCAACTCTATACCTCAACTTCATCGACTTCGAGAAGGCCTTCGACAGCGTCGACCGAGAGGTAATTTGGAAACTGCTTCAATACTACGGGATACCACAAACCTTTATCAGCCTCATTCAACAACTATATGAAGACGCCATATGCCCAGTAATTCACAATGGAAGTTCAGTGATGCTTTTGAAGTGAAGACAGGAGTGAAACAAGGTTGTCTACTATCCCCCATGATATTCCTGATTGTGGTCGACTGGATCATGCAACAAACAGTGGGAAGCTGTGAGAAGAGGGGGATACGCTGGACTGCGGAAAAGAATCTAGAAGACTTGGATTTCGCCGATGACTTGTGCCTGATGTCACACAAACTTGAAGATCTACAGGCGAAAACTAACAAGTTGGCAGAAGAGGCTGGGCAGCGAAGACGGGACTTCAGGTGAATATAGAGAAGATAAAAGTGATGAAGATACTGCACCAACAACTCCAACAACAACAACAAACTCCAATCACCATCAACGGGAGAAACACTTAAAGGAAGTAACCTTTTTCGCCTATCTAGGAAGCACTGTTTCAATACAGGCGGTAGAGACGAGGACGTCAAAGCCAGAATCGGAAAGCAAGACGCGTTAATTAACCTGAAACCAGTTTGGAGATCTTCCGCAATCAGCATGCGGAACAAGATCCGGATTTTCAACACTAACGTCAAGTCAGTGCTTCTGTATGGTTCAGAGACTTGGTGCGTTACGAAAGGGATTTCCAATAAACTACAGACATTCATCAACAACTGCTTACGCTGGCTCGCTACTGAAGATCAGATGGCAGAAAGAATAAGCAACAAGGAGCTCTAGGAACGAACCAACTGAGAACCTATCACCCAACAAATATGTAGAAGGAAGTGAAGATGGATTGGGCATACACTGAGAAAGCCAACTGGGGACATCATGCGTCAGGCCCTCGAGTGGAATCCCCATGGGAAGCGACTAGTTGGACATCAGAGGGTGACATGGAGGAGATCGTGCGAGGAGGAAATGAGAGCTTGTAGGCTGTCGTGGAGCCAGGTTGAAAAGATTTCGGAGAACAGAGTTCACTGGAGACGTGCTAGTGAAGCCCTATGTTCCATTAGGAACCCAAGGGACTAATAATAATAATAGTAATAATGCAGAACACAGAAAACATCTTTGAGAGAGGTGACAAAGAAATGAGTAGCCATATTGCATACAGATAGTTGGAACCAGTATCTAAAAATACAATCCCATCTTCTAAAACTCAGGTGAAGAAAAGTCTCTCAAGTAGTTCAGAAATTTTCCCCTTTCGTTAACAACAATCATAACTATGTGATTAAACATGAACTCAGTAACCATATTCGTTAACTTTCTAGTATGTTATGTTAGACCTTCAGTGGGTTGAGAAAATGTCATAAATTCATTATATTCCGCCATCGATACTTCTAGTGCTTGATTCAAGTTGATATAATTCTAAACAGTTAACTTAGCTTCGTGGACTACTTAGTGAATAATGCTAAACTATTGTAAAACTATACTTTTCTAACGAGCGCCACTTCAACACTCTTAGTAACCATGTTGTCACTATTGAAAAGGATACTCTTCGTTGAGATTGTTGCTTTTCATAAACTATACTTTGTTTAAGTATACGGCCTTGATACATAGCAGCTAAATGGCGATTGTCGATATATTTCATGGTGGTTTTATAACTGAAGTCTATGCTTTCAACATAACCTAATCCACGTATAATATGAATTCTACAAAACATTATTGATTTGAATCACAACACCACCACTTTAGCACTAATATTTACTCATCTTAACTAGCTAATGAGACCACGTTTTGAAGCTCAGTAAGCTGATGCAAGACCCACTTTATTGTAGCGCAATTGTTATTCGGTTTGAAAAGAAAAGCTAAGATTGTTAAGAATTTGGTCTAACATCCTTTGAATTACTGGTCAACTGTCGATCAACTAAGCTAAAAGACTAAACTACTGTTCAAAGTTTAAGTCCACATTATACATCAAGCGTTTCCATCAAATTGCCAAAGGAGTGGACGATCGCAAGTTGACTATTTGTCAACGCAATTATTCATCAAACTTCAAATCGAAGTGAGTTGGAAGCAAAGAGTGACTAGTCAATTTTCAGTTAGAATTCATGCACTGCCTTTTGTTCGACAGACACATCTTGATGAAAAAATATAAGCTCTTAACGTAAGGATTAAAAATTAGGCATTGTCAATAAACGGGTCCTTAATTTTTGGTAAAAAAGTAAAAGATGGGCAACCCTACTCACAATCTTGTTGCTCCCCACGCTTTCCTCCAGTTTATTCATCACTGTTTATCATTTATATTCGTCTTACGAACCACAGGTATTTCAGACAGCTTGACCAGCAAACAAACGGGTCTTCATCCTGAAGAAACACATTCATATGGGTTATCAAAGCACGAATTACAACCCATGGCAAGTAAATTTCATAATATCGCGCTTAAATGTAAGCGTATATATATATCTTTTCAACTAACAAAAGGTAAACATTATTAATTTACTGCTTACATTTTCTGATGTAGCCAGTGCTGATTTATGACTGTGAAGTTCCATGTTCTGTGTAGAAACTTTGACTTAGAACTATACACCTGCTGCTGGCTTGCCACTCCATAATTAAAAAAGTAACATTTACAATACATTGACATTTATTTGCTCAAAAAATGTGTCGTTACATCGAAAAATCACCTTAAATAATTTACAAAAATCAGTTTTTCGGTCCTCAGCGATTTGCGAACCGTTATATTTCTCTGGGAATGATAAAGACATATATCTTTATACAGAAAAGATTAATTATATGTGTAAAGATATCTGTAAAATGAATATAATTATGTGTATATACTTCAACGATTATCATGCGACTTTGTAAACCTTTAAGGAAGACGCGTAAGAGTTTTATATTCATTGATTCAAACATCTGTTTTATAGTACATAAACGATTTGTACACACTCACTTTGCATTTAAATGTTTCATTACTGGCAAGAAATTCAGTTTATAATAACTTGGGAAAAAATTACATAAATTCCCAGGAGTTGGATTTTGTTTCATTTATCTTTATGTAGCTATAGCTGTTGCGTTTTCGAAGCTTTTCTGTTTCAGTCTTTCGGTTCTCGGATTTGATTTACGACTACGAATGAGTCTTAGGAATGCAGTTCTAAATTTCTCAGACAGAAATGCATAAAGTATTGGATTGATACTACTATTTCCATAAGCTAGACAATTTCCTAATATTTGTATAATCCTGAATAAATCAGTCTCTGGATCTTTCGCGTAATATTGTATTAAAAAGATTGCATGAATCGGAAGCCAACTAATACCGAATACAATGACTACAGTTACAACCAAATGAGTTACACGTTTTTTTGAACGTTGTGCTTCTGCCGAGTGAGCCATCTTCGAAGATGGACCACAACGCAATCTCAATATTAAGCAGATGTATAACAAGCAGATTATGACAAATGGAAACAAATATCCAAACAAAAAGAACAGCAGAAAGAACATTTGGCCACCATGTCGATTATCTCTTGCAATGTTCGTCTTCTCATCAAAGTTAACCAACCATGAATATGTACAGTATTCTGTAACACAAGAACTCTCACCACCTTCCGGCGGCCCTCTCACTAGGATTGCACCAAGAAATAACGGTGTATTAGTAATAAGAACTACAGTCCACGTGATAATTACTGCAATTGTTGTGTTTTTTTGCGTACGCATATTTATACACTGAATCGGATAAACAACTGCCATGAAACGATCTAAACTCATCAATACCAAGGTATAAACACTACAGTACACAGAAACATAAGAAGAGTAATAATAAACTCGACAAAGTGATAACCCTAATGGCCATTTTCCAGTCACATAAACTATTGCTGCAGAAGGAACACAAATAACTATAAACGCCATATCAGCAACAGCAAGCGAGAATATTAAAATGTTTGTAGTATTGCGCATTTGAGCATTGGCTAGAACAACAATCATCACAAATAAATTACCGACAAATCCAATAATTAGTATCAAACCGAAAACAACTGGAGTTACTATGCGAGCGAAAACCATGAATACACTGAGTTCATCTGATGTAAATCCTTTCAGACAGGTTAAACTGGTGAAATGGTACTAGCTCCAACTGAATGAGTATTGGGCGGGGTCACAAAATTTGAAGCATTTTCACTGTCTGTTTCAGTATAATTGTTTCCTTCAACAAATACGGCTAGTAACCACATGAACCATACAAACTGTGATCTGAAATGAAACTTCATAGCTTGTATCCAGAATTTCGTGTAACAATTGAATCAAATGACCAATATATTCAGTTGTGCTGTTTTAATATACCTAGAAAAAGACCAAATAAAATAGTTACTTGTTACAGCATACTTACTTATTTGGACCATTTATAGGAAACTGATATTTATGAAAAGTATTTATAAAAGAATAAGTGCTCCGACAATTGGCTCTGAAGTCACTGGAAATAAAACAGCTTTCCATAGGATTACTCTCAAATCAGTAAAGAAGAGAAGCGATATGAAACCTCAACTTATGTGTTTATTAGTTCAAAGAAATCTGAACTGATAAGTGCAGTGTATGAACTGATAACATTCTGTTTATGAATCCACAAAAAATCAAGCAGCCTGAAACCTTTTTAACCAAGAAATATAAGCCACTAGGCCAGAGAACACTAATGAAGTATTTTTGGCTTCTAGTTTCTTTCAGTAATCGAAGCCAATATATGAATTTTTGTTACAGTAAGAAAGGTATCATTCTGTCATTGCACACGAAACTGTTATAAACGAAATCACTAAGAAACAAGAATGAAAACAAAAAAATGGTAACTGGGAAGCTTGACATTTTCACGCATTACGCTTTATGAATATAATAAAGTCACTGGATTTGTGTTTTGTGTAGTCATTTGTTTCTGGCAGGATTACAAGACAATACTTAGAAGATTTTGGAATGATAGCAGTATGTCTCTTTAAAATGCACAGTGTTTTATTAAAACCAAAAGTATCTTTCTGCAGAAAACACTCACTTAAATGTTTATGACAAGATATAGAATATTAGGTTTTATATTAGTATGAGCAAAATATTTACTCTCTTCCATAAGTTGAAGGATCTTTTGTCTGTGAGTCTAACATTCAGGATTTCCAGGAAGAGTAGTCCTACAACAGACTAGCAAAGTAGCTGTCTTATTTATGTCTGAAATCTCGTTTTAAAGTAGTTTAGGATGTAAACGTTTCTGTTTAAGGCAAATAAGAACGTAACACTCTAGAAATGAAACAATTATCGGCACTTTTTCTTCCTAAACCTTTCTTGTACGAATCCTTAACAGTGATAAGAAACTGCTGCGCCGGATTTCAAACTAACAGCTTTCAACACATACTAAACTTGTAAGCAAAAAATACCAATAAAATCTTATTTTTCTTAACATTACTCTCTAATCAGTCCCTTAATCATCTACTCTCCCGAGTTTAACTTATAATACGTATAAGGTTAAGTTTTGAGAGATTGGAATTTTGAGATATTGTTGCCGACAGCCTGCTCAAAATAGTGCTTTTCGGGCATAAAATGTATTTGAATTTAAGAACACACCGCTGGAGTGCTACATAATTGCTGATTTTCTAAAGGCATTTTAGCTCCAGCACAGTATATCAAATGGCGTGCAATATTAATAATGACCACACATTCCTAATATAACATGTGTAATGATAGAATTGACTTCATTCACACCAAAATGGTAGCTGATAATTTTCAAATCTAACGATGGTAGCGATGGTGCACATAAGTGCATCCCAGTAGACATGTTTGCATGAATCAAACGTATGCCCACTTTGGTTATCACTGGAAATTTCAGAAACGAATATCTTTTAGGGTCAAATGAGCACTGCTGTAATATAAACTAAACTCTTTTCAGCATATATTTTTCCAGGCAGTCTCTCGGAAATTATGTATGAACTTTGTATCTTTTGTTCCTTTGCAAATCTGGGAAACAAAAAACTGCCGGATAATATTTCTACAACAAATAATCAAATCGTTTTTCGTACCACCAAAACATTTTAGAAACTAATGAAAGTAGGAATTGGTTTTGAGTGCGGAGTTTTCGAATATGAGATCTTAACAATGATAGGACATCGAAACTGTTCTTGTTAGTAACGTAAAAAGTATGATTGTATTTGCTTTGAATAGGCTGTATTTTATATGTCTTTTTCATTTTAAAATTTCGTGTTTGAGTCTCCTAGAGCCCTTAAAATGAATCACATTTAGCATGATCGAACTGAGGATGTAACTTTAGATGAAAAGAAAATATGAGTCACGTCAGGCCAGGGTCACATGAATACCACTCTGAGGAGGCTTGGTTTTCTGGAATGTTCTATTTTTGGACTGTTGTTTGATCCTAACCAAAAATAAGAATCAATGCACTGTTTATTGGTAAATATCTATCGGGAGATTATCATTCAATTCCAAATGAATGACAAACATTTTATCAGTCTATGAAATATTTTTCCTCTCCGTCATTTAACTTCAATCAAGCGAATTAATTACAGATCGAAACTTTATTATGTTTAACAGCTTTCGGCAAAATATTTTTACGACTCGAATTTTTTCTAGAGATACTTTTATTCATTTAGGATAAAAATGCACTGGTTAGTGATAGATTCACCAATGCTTTAAGTTTTATCCCAACCTTTGATTGGATTTCGCATAGATTTGAGATGGATCATTGACCCTTGGATAGAAAGATATTTTGCTAGTCGTCCAACCTGGCATAAGATACATATTTTCATCGTATCTCAGGGCTTGCTGGAGGCATGAAATATGCAATATAGTGGCTGTATAAACGGGATTAAAACAATTCCGCAAAAGTAGGTTAACAACGTCTTTACTCTTTTAAGACACACATAAGTTGAAAAACAACTTTAAATCTTCATGATTTGTGTCAGTCAGTTCAGTTTCATAATCATTCATGTCAGATAAGAGAAAATTAGAGGTAGAAGATAACAGCTGTTATTTTGTTACAAAGGAACAGTTTTTGCATCAACCTTTTAATGTCTCATATCCTAAGCGTAAATCTCGTTAGTATGAAAATATAATTCAGGCACTGTCGTAGATTATGCTTCCATTATAGTTCATATATATATATATATATATATATATATATATATATATATATATAATACATGCCTATCCAAAGCGGTTTAAAGCGATAATACACTAGTTTGCCGTATCATACCTATTCTTCAGTAATGATATTAATCTTACAGCTGTAAGTTAATAGTTTTCAACTAGTTTTGTCTCTTCTTACTGACTTAACGTTATTTTAGTGTTGGAAACACTGAATTGTTGCAAGTTTTAAAGCCTATATGTTTGCACATATATCATAGGGATTACGAAATTAATTATTTTGAAAAGCCTCCATCTGTGGAAATTTAGTAACATATCATAATGCCTTAAGAATACTTTAATGTTCAGCATTGAATTTCGCAAAACTCTTTCTTCGATTTCATTTATCGACTGGTCAACTGTTGAAGACTGAGTGCCTGATGAATATCATAGGGCTTGTTGTTACTGTTTCTGATTTCCGGTCTCTCTTTATGTGACTCATCTAGTAATCCCATTCTTCCACAGTTACGTTAGTTTAAAACTGCAGGTACCGTATAGATCCAACTGTTTGAAACGGTTTTTGGAAAATCTGTAGAAAGTTGAATAATGGAACACCTCTATATGACGTACATTTATAAAATACAGGAGAAAAAACAGTTTTGCGCCAGAGCAATCATATAATGCTGATCTGAGTTGTAGCGTAGTTGGTAATACAAGTGCATCTATATTCCATTGTTATCTTTTATATTTTTAAAAGCAACATGATAAGAATTTCAGTTTTTAGTGCAGTTTTATTCCTAACTAGTTTCCCACATACATTTCGCTTCTAAAGTCCAGTGCTTCGAAAACACGAATCTCTGCTTCCGATGTAGGAACATGTGTTCCAAAATGTATGATGCAGTCTGATGGGCTACAGATACATCTGACCAATACAAAGTCTTCTATTGTACCTAAAAAGGAGGTAGAAGAACTGTTTGTGTCAGTTTCTGAATATTTATATCATTTATTTAATAAGCATCCTCTATGAACATTTAGAATCTATCAAAACGTTGTTTTTCATGGATACCAAACGATAGTCGGATCACTACGATTGTATGATATTATTGAATTGTGCTTGTATTCGACAATCATCCAGCGAAGAAACAAACAATTTTTTATGGTATCTGATCATTTAACTCAAACTATCAAAGAAGATTCATAACATTAAGAAAGGTAAGCGGATGATGAAGCACTGCACAAATCCAAACGGTGTTTACTAAGACTGCATCAAATTTTAGTGCATAAATTGAACACTGTGGAAACCAGGTTCAAAAACAGAGCGTTACCAAATGCTGAAGTCATCCTATCTTTAGACTAAGTGTAAGTATAAACACTGTCACTCAATATGAATGATTTACAACTTGTAAATTAGTAGGTATGTTTGGACTATAATCGTATATGCGAACCCCATGGATAATATATATAAACTGCTGCAGTTTAATTTCATATTCTGTAACCTGTAAACTTCGTGACATTGTCAAACTGGTGTGTATGAAACATAAAACTATCACGTGAAATCAGTGAGACACCATTTCCTTTTATCACTATTCTCAGAAGCAAATCAGATTATAAATTTCGTTTCTGAAATGCTAACAGAATAATTTTATTATGTGAAACACCTTCAGTGATTTTTAAAAATATCAACACTGTAAGAATCAAGCTGTCTACGTAAAAAATAACCATTCAACATTGAGGATTGTGGAGATTTATTTATTGATTTCAAGTTGAGAATTATCTGAAACGTGGGAGCACTGAACAGCTGTTTTGTCTTAGTATTGGACCTCTCGGCACTGGGCACCCATGAACCGGTCGGGATCGATCTCAAGATCTTCCGGTTCCGCGGACAGCACACTGTCATTGAGGTACAGGGAAAATATCTGTGATATATGAAATTGATTCGCATATATTTGATGGTCTCTCAAGTATAAAGGTAGTTTGTCTCAGGGTTAAAATTTTGCATGTTATTTTACTCATTTAAGTGCTCCAGAAATATCTTTCTATAGTTCCCACTTTGGTGTTGCACTTGATTTCCTACTGATTGACGTACGAACTGTGAGTCTGATTTAGAATTGATAACCTCTGAGAAAACCATAGATTTCGTCTTTCTTTCTTGGATGTCACATTTTTAAGGCGCTTTTATTAAGCATTTTGGACCTTTATGGTGACCTCAGTGGTGAATCAGAGCAACAAATGTATTCAC